GTATGGCGATAACTGAGCCCTGGAAACAAAGCCCATGCAAACAAATCATAAAATGCAAATGAACTACCAAAGGGAAAACATAATTAAATGCAAAGAACGGCAAACAAAAGCAACGAGACTAGGCTGGAAAAATGGAACCGAAGCCAACAAAATATGAATAGAAGAAAAAAAAAGCGTAAAATAGCCGCTTTAAGGAGACAACCCTTTTAGGATTTTTTTTACAAAGTCCATAGGCTTGATCTGCTCGGATAGATACAAAACATTTCCAAATAAAGTGGGGAAAGTTGGTCATGGATTTGGCAGAAAGACTTACTCCTCTTGTTTGCCCGCTCCATTTTATGTATACGTCAGTCTCGCTCTTAGGAGCCGGCAGCGACCAATGTCGATGTTCGGTTGCCAACATACGGCTGACCTCTCCTAATCCATCCGAGCACATATGTGGGCGTGTGTATATACGCGAGTCCTGAGTGCCGTATCCTGTCTCATCTACTCCTGTATTGGTGAGCGAGAGATTTGCGCCAACAAATCGAAATGTTGCAAAAACGTCCTCATATGGCCCAAACACAATAACACAGTCACACATGCTGACATACACATACACATCCATTCACATCCACCCTCCACCTTCCGTCGAGTTTCCCACAACCGCTTTTCCGATTTCCACAAAAATCGCGCTGAGCTAGGGGTTGGTTTTTCCGAACTTCGCGATGTACATACAAACATTTTTTGTTTTTCATTTCTCTTTCGCACACATGCCCGAGAGCGAGAGACATATGCAACATACAAATGTACTATGACTGCTATGTGTGTATTATGTTGTGTAAATGATTTTTTTGTTGTGGCTCTGCGCCAACGCCAGGGTTCTTGCGCTCTGTTCCCCAAGCTCCTATGTAAAGGCAGCCCCCATGCATGCCACGGAATAGATAACATATTAAAAACTGAGCACATGCGACAAGGACAGCACCAACAGTCGTGGCAGCGCTGCAGCAGAGCTGCAGATCGGCGTCGCCGCTGGAAAAGCTTGAAAAGCAGAGCTGCCGCTTTCCCTGGAAGATGAGCAGAAGAGTTGTGCATGTGTGGGGCACACACACAGATACACCCCCACGTACGTTGGTTGTTCAGTTCTCGTGCGCTCTCTTTCGGAACTGCCGTCTGTCTCTTTCTCAGCTTCTCCCTCTTCCTCTCGCACACTGGGCCACTTTCCCCCATTCGACAACGACAGCGGGAAAAACTCAACTCGCAGGTTTTGAAATTTCCATAAGCTGGCAAAAAAGGGATATGTTGCCGTCGACGCTGACGCTGACGCCAACTGCGACGTCAACGCTTTTGGGGGGCCTGTTAAAAATGTTACACTCCCGCGCAGTTGGCGGTTCCAACGTGTGACAACTGTGGGTCGTGAGTAAACTCCATGTGGGCCAATAACACGATGGAGTGAGTCCTTCCAGTTGTTGTTGCTGTTGTTGCTGTTGTTGCTGTTGTCTGGTGGTGACTATTACTCTTTACGGACTTTTGGAGCCTCCACATGGATAAGTGTGTGTGTGTGTTTCTGCGTGCACGAAGGGATGTCGGTGTGCGGGCGTTTCGCTCTTTTGTGCTCTTTTTTGCTCCTTTCGTGTTCTTTCGGCCCGCCTCGTATCACTCGGCTTCTGCTCGGCTTCGGATACGCATGTGTATGCAAATGTATTTCGTATAAACATATAAATAATAAATTTTTTTCGGTGTGACGTGCGAGGACATCCTCCTCCTCCGGCCTCACGCAGCTGCTGTTTTGATAAGGGAAAATATATATTTTATATGATGAAGGAGTAAGGACGTCGGCGTCTCTGCCGCTGCTGCTGCCGCTGCTGGCCTCGCCGCCAGCTTCCAAATCCGATCCGACCCAGCTTCGTCCTGCCGAACGGAACGCCGCATCCTCATGTGAGCTCTGTTTCGCAGGCTCCGACTGTTTGTGGCCCGCTGCTCATACGTGTGCGCGTACGTGGGCGGCTTTTGCCCACGCGGGCAGGGGGCGTGGCAACAGGGGGGTAGTGGGGAGCAGCGCGTATGTGCCGTCGCTGCCGCCTCTGCTGCTGGCGCTTCTGTTGGCTGCGACGCCGTAGCTGTGTTTTTTCGGGCCGGCCGACATCATTTGAATTAGTCGCTTCGTGACGTTTGAACGGTTCGAAAGATACACGCGACACCCACATACGTCGAGAATTACCCGTTAACCGTTACGATGCGCAGCGGTCGTCTACACCGCCGCCGCCAATAAATACAATATTTATTTAATCGAGAAGTATGTTTAAAAATAAACGCGGGTTCCTTAATAAAAAATAAGAATCAAACAATTAGCAAGTGTTTAACAGACTTTTTAAAATATGAAATATTTATTTTACACTTTTTCATAGTTTTGGAAACTGTTTAAAAGTTACCATTTACTGTTGAATCGTTGAGCCCAATACTAATAAAAAAGATTTCAAAGTTTTTAACAATTCTTAGGTAACCTATATTTTATTAATTAAAGAATCAAGTTTAGATAATCAATTAACGACTTAAGCTATAACAAAAAGTAATGTAGATATCAGTCCATTTTTAATTTTGTATGAGTCTTGAATTGAGTGAACTGAAAGCAGTTAAATTGTTAAGCCCTCTAAAAATATTTTCGAAACCAAGAAAGTTTCGTGTGGAAATAACTGTTGTGTGTAGAGTGTTAAGAATATCGCGCCCCTCATAAACATGCAAACATTTTAAATGAAACCCAAAATCATTTCTCCGAAAATTGCCTGCCAAATTAAAGGATCGATATGGTCACATAAACATACAAAAGTGCCTCAAATTGACCTGTCAGCAGCCATTTAGGGAAAAATACCCAGCACGCTGCAAATCTACCTGTGCGGCAGGTCTGCCCTTTCTCCTGTTTGTTTATTATGATGTATGTGTGTGCCAACATATACGATCACGCACCCGATTATCACATGTACGACTGACCAAGAGGGGAATCCTTCGACCAGCAGAGTAAGAGAATTGCGAGAGCGAATCTCAGTCGATCAAGCCCACCCCGACTCACACATGCACGCATTGTGTGGTGTGGTGCGTGGTGTATAGTGGTTTTTGAGGGTTGCGTGTGTGCGGGGTGTGGTGAGGGCCGCTCGCACATAGGTGAACACCATTACTAACTTGCTGTGCATTTATTTGCATAGATATAGCTCAGTTTGTTACAAACCCTCGGCAAGACCGTGTTACGATCGAGCTGCGTGAACTCGCACTCGTTAGCAATTTATTGAATAGTGACTACGTAAATTTATTGCACCTGTTTCAATGGAATGACGATTGCCAAATATAAAAGGATTAAAGTGAAAATGTTAATTTGAAAAATAGATAGTGGAAGTGCAAATCAAAAAAGAAGTATCGTTTGAACATTTCAGATATACTGCAAATTTAAAAATGGTATGTAGGTTTGATAAAATTAATATTTTTGGAAATGATTATTTTAAACAAATAGTCAGTTAAAAATGCATCAAATTTGTGGTCCAGCTACAAAATTTGAAGTTAACTTGTGTTGCTATAAAAAACATTTCCCAAATTGCATAAGTCCCATATGTGACATTATTCAACATTATGTATATTTTTTTGAAAAAGCACATACAAAAATACCTTAAGCATTATTTAATGCTTAAAAAATTAAAGTGAAAGGTTTATGATTAAAGATGGAACTAGCCAAAAAAATGGTTCCCGATAAAACTTAAATATTTTAAATGCATACCCTTAATGTGATATCCTTAGCCACTCCGCACTGGCTTACTCTACCATTAATTAAAAAACTTGACAGTTTCTTTTCTCGGCGTTCCACTAACTTGCTTTTACCTGTCGCCACTCTAAAGCAAAATAAACAAATAAAAATGTTGTCTCAGCTGCCGCAAACCGCAAATGAGTTACGAGAAAAAAAAGGGGCAATCCAAACCCGAGAAAGAAACGAGGTAGGCGCCTAGCAGCTCGCTGCTAATTGCACATTGTTGCATTCGAGCGTGGTTATCCTTTGGCTCTGGTTTCGTTCCCAGCAAAAAGTCCTGGTGTGGAGAAGCATGTGTTAATATGCGGTTTTAAGCTCCGTCCGCCCACCACTTACTACTCTACAATCGCTCCCAAAAGGTAGACAGGCGAGCCAAAGATGAAGCAACTACAGCAAATAAAAATGTTTATTTTGCTTGCACTCCTACCAAAGTTTTTTAATTTTGCCCTAAGAAGTCAGTGTGAGGGACTGCCAAGTTTGCGGACGTAGTCAGGCAGCTGGTGACTCTTTTAAAAACTCTCACATCCGAGAATATGGGGTGCGAAGCCGTGCCAGACAGTCGCTGAATTAATTAGATGCTCGCACTAAATGTGGCAATTGCTTATTTATAAAATAAAGCAGATCCAGGAAATTCAATCTGCGTTTCGAGTATTACAAAAATGTTATGTTGATCTTTACTTGATATTTTAAACACATTACCAAATGAGTTGCCGGTGACTAAAAGTTGGGTCTAGCAAAAAGCAAAGGATATTTCTTTTGATTTGCATTACCTCATTCATTCCACTGTGCATTGTTTGGGGCACGGTTAAGCAAAGCAAAACAAAATCCAGAGGAGACGAATGCTGAGCCAATTATGAAGGGGGAATGAGCGCCTTTATCACACATCACACATCTGCATGTGATATCCTCGAGGATATACGACACGACACGTAGCAACTGTGATTGCTACACCTTTCAGGTGTCTGTTCCCTGGCTTTTTCTTTTTCTTTCTACAGCTAATGTCTGTTTTTGGCTTTTGTCTTTCCTATGCTTTGGCTCCTCAACAGAAAAATGATATATGCAGCGACTCATTAACATATTATCACACTGTGTGTACCGTACTTTAGAGATACCTCACAGCATATGTCATGAATACGAATACATTATGCCTGGCATTATCCTTAAGCTTTGCTTATTCGTCTCTCGCTTAAAAACTTTTTTCTTTCTCTATCCCCGCTTTTTCCTTTCTCAGACAAGCAAAGCACCTTGCACGTGACTGGGACGGGGCATGTTAAAGGACGCCGACAAGGAGTTGATTAAACATCGCCTACTGACGTCGCTTCCCATGACCGACTTCGCTCGTCAGGTGGCGCCCATACAGCCTCCTCTGCCGCTCCAAATTCCGCTGCCGCTTTTGGCCAAGACGCCGACCAACGATCACGCCCCGATGCACTCTACGCCACCAACGACGCCGCCCACGCCTCCACCTCTGCCCTTGAACATGAGTCAAGCAGCCACGGCGGCGGTAGAAACGGAGTCTCCCTGTGAACACAGTCCGCCAACCACACCCCCCTCGAGAGGGGCAAGCGGAGCAAACTCGGCCCCACAGGATCACTACAGTCTGCGCTGGAACAACCACCAAAACCACATCCTGCGGGCCTTCGATGCACTGCTGCAGACCAAGACGCTGGTGGATGTGACCCTGGTTTGCGCAGAAACTTCAATCCGTGCACACAAAATGGTGCTCTCTGCCTGCTCGCCCTTCTTCCAGCGCGTGTTCGCGGAAACCCCCTGCAAGCACCCGGTTATCGTGCTTAAGGACTTTCGGGGCTGGGTTGTGCAGGCCATTGTGGACTTCATGTACCGCGGAGAGATCAGCGTCCCCCAGCAGCGTCTCCAGACCCTTATTCAGGCTGGAGAGTCGCTTCAGGTGCGGGGACTGGTGGAGAGTTCAGTGCCCGAGCACACGCCCACGCCGGCCGCCTCTCCCGACGACTTTGGAATGCTAGACGCATCGATGCTGTCCTCCAGTTTCAATGACGAATCGCCCTCGATGGCCGGACCGTCGGCGTCGGGCAAGCTGATGATGCCCTCCGCCCGACTGTTTGGCAATGGCTCAAACACCATGCCTGCATTGAGTCTTCGCCGTAAGCGGGAGCAGGATTTCGACCGCGAGCAAGAGAGCGATCAGGAGTTGGGGAGCAGTTCGCCCATGCCGCGACGCAAGCAGGCACGGCCTCGCCGCCGATCTGGCGATGTTCCCCACGACTTTGCCCTTAACAAGACCGATGCGGAATCTCTGCAAACTGTGATCAAGCACGAGCTGCTGGAGCGTTCGGAAAGAGACCACGACGAGGATCATGATCAAGATCACATCCAAAGCGAGACGCAGAAAAATGATTCCTCGGCAGCGGAAACGTCGACAAACCAGTCGAAGGAGCAGCAGACGCTAAAGCCAGAAATACCCGATCATCGCCTTAACCTCAACGAAAGCCACCATCAACTCGAGCTGGACGATGAGGACGACGACGATCAGGACCATGAGGAAGAGGAAGAGGAGCAGGACATTGAAGAGCTTATTCACACAACTAACGAGCTGAGACGACAGGCTGCCGTGGCCGCTGCAAATGCGACCGCCATGTCGCCCACCCCCTCACCCTGCCCCAGTGACGGGCCAGAGGACCTCTGCACCACCAAGAAGCCCAAGGACGGAAACACCGCCCACTCGTCTGACTGTGAGTCCAATAACAACAACAGCAGCAAGCTGCAGGACAACAACCAGCGCATTATGCTGTCTCTGAAGGACATCCGCCAACTAAACGCCAATCCGAACCCCACAGCCATCCACACGCCCACCAGCTGCTCTGGAGGCAACAACGGACTCCTGAGTTTTCCACCGCCGGGTCTTCGGCCACCTGGACTCCCGGACAGCCCGCCGTGCCACATGGAAGCGCTGGAGGCGCAGATGCACGCTGCCGCGGCAGCAGCTGTGGCGGCTGCCGGAGCCGGCGAGCATCCTTTCCAGCACATGGAGCACCAAATGGAAATGTCTTTGGCGGCTGCGGCGGCAGCAGCTGCCATGCATCAGCGGGAGCCAAGAGATCCCCGTGATCCTCGAGACCACAACGTATTTGCCAGCAATCTTTTAGGGCCAATGGGAATGCCCCCGTTTGGAGGTCATAACGGAGGACATCCGGGCAGCAGTGGTCCTGGAAGCGGATGTCCCGGGCAGGCTGCTCACGAACGGCTCGAGGAGAGCATGAATCGGCTGAGTAAGGAGCTGGGCAAGGAGTTCGGAAAGGATTTTGGCAAGGAGTTTGGAAAGGAGTTTGCCCCGGCGTCGCCAATGAGTTTGCCAGGACACTTCAATGCACCGGATGGACCTCCGCATCCGCCGTCGCCACTGCCCTTTCCTGGCATGTCGTCTGCGATGACGTTGACGCCTCCGCACAGTAAGTACTTCTGTTTGAATCTAATTTTGTTCGACACTAGAATAAAGGGCCTTCAGGGGTCACTGGGTTATCTGTCAGGATGCAAGTCTACACGCAGCGGAAGTCTTTAATAACGCAAGCCCACTTCCACCTCCTCACTTATGGTCTTAGGGTCTTTTTTCCCCAACGAACATCCCCAAAACGTACGTTCCACATGCTTGCTTGTTCTTTTTGCCACTCTTCCAGAGTTGGCTGAAAATCAACATGTGGCCTCTTTGCGACATCAAAGTATCGTCAGTGACGAGAATGAAGAAGTGCTCTTGCATTGCCACGCAAAGCTGTCGCAAAGCCCCTTAGCACATTAAGGCTCCTATCGCTTATTTTTCTGCTCCTATGACCAGTTAAGAACTTTATAAAATAACTCCTTTTAAACGAATCAAGGCATGAAACGCATCCGAATATGACATACCTGTCAGTCTAAAAATTTTTTTTCGAACTAATTAAGTCATAAAAAGTTTAAGCTGTTGACAGCTAATAAGAAATATGGAAATGCAATCCTATAAGCAATGGACTCCTAATAATTTGACAGTTTGGCAGGCCCCCACTCCGTTCTCCGCAGACAACACCGTCTGGGCAGACCTCAGCGGAAATACCTTGCGGTTAAGTCCCAGGCGGAACTGCAGTCGAAGTAAATTCAATTGCGTTTTATATGATTTTTATATTCATGTCACTTGGAGTCAGGCAAAACAAACGCAAACACAAATTGAGGTGCAAAGGTTGAAAAAAGGGCGAGTTGAGTTGGGTTAGCTTCAGCCGTTGCGTGCAGAAAGCGCAAGAAATTTATGTTGTGTCTTTCCAACATGTGAGTTTCCGAGCGGGTTGAGTTCAAACTGTCAGCAGACGTTTAGCCAAATGACTTTTAAGTTGCTTGGCTGCCGAGCAGGAGACGGCACTCCTCCGCTCCAGAACATTCCGTGTCTTTCTCCGGCTCTTTCTCTTCATGTGTTGTGTTTAAAGTATGCCAAAGCGCGCACAACTTAAACCTTTTGGCAAACAACTTTGGCAGCGTCGGCGGCATAAATAAAAATACGAAGGCGACGTCTCGTGGTTGGGCTACCCTTGCCATGGTCTAGTCGTCCACACAACTTTTGCATATAAGTCGCGCGATATTCATATTAATAATATCCGTTTGGGGAGGCCGAGCAAAGGCAGAACCCAAGGACCAAGACCTTCACCTGTGAAAGCCGGGGAGGGTAAATGCAGGGGAGACGCGCGCACACAGGATATAAAATAAATTAAGGCACAAAAATATGAAAAATTGTACGAAAATGCCATCTGAAGTCAGGCAGGAAGCGCAATACCTTTTAATGCGACAAAATTTTCAGCCAACATATCAGAGCAGCGAAGCTCAGGAAGAAGTAGGGGCGAGTAAGGCGCACCAAAGTCCCGTCGTATTCGAGCAAATCACTAACTACTGAATAAACAGGCTGCAGGCAATGAACGATCCAGCCAAGGATACGGTAAAGCACAGAACCCTAGATTTGATGGTCACGAGTAGTTGACTTCAATTTACCCTGGACGTTTAAAAGTCAAAAGTTATTAGTACAGAGTATTCCAAAATTATGTGACTTTTTTATTCTTTTCAACTTCTTTTTTTTATTTTTAATTTCAAATTTTAGTTCACTTAATTGAAGAAAATATATTCTGTCGAATATACGGTACACAAATTTTCTGTCGAATGTACGGTACGATTAATTCCCTACCGCTTCCTTAAGTTCATGCTACCCACTGATTGTTACAACAAATCTCATCCCCTGACAGGACCTCGCAGACAGTCCTGTAAGAGATTTACCACCGTTTGTCGTTCGTATAAAAAATTTGATTTATTTTTTTTTGGTGAAATATTTTCGGCGTGAAAATCATTGAACTAATAGCTTGTGACATGTGGTGTGGGCAGTATATACCTGCTTGAGCTTCTTCAGATTTTGAAAGAAAAATCCACTAATTTCGTGCAGTCAAAAGAAGTGGGAAGAAAATAACGCACATAACGTATACGCAGCGTGTTGTAATGTCTACTTGAGAAAACAGAGTCAAACAATGTGCGCTCGTTATTTGTGTCATTATGCTGCAGATACAACACATCCTCGAGACACAGACAGAGATACAAGTACGGGATACGTTTCCTTATTCATATGCTTGAACATTGTCTTCGCCTCCTTCTTTTTGAATGTGAGCTTGTCTGTTTTGCGGGGTTTGTTTGCATCTTGGAGTCCGCAGCGCGACTTATGAAATCATTCAGCACAATGGCAATATTATGCGTTACTTCCCAGCAGGCGAAAGGTTCTTGGTGGAGTCCCATCCTTGGTGATCCTGCAGCCTTCGGCTCATCAGCGCTTCAATTGTTTCACTCATGTGTAGGAGTGCACTCCAAGCGTAAAATATTAATAGAATAACGATGTTCCATTGTTTACTAACCGGTTGGCGTAACCGCTTTTCGAAGTGTGCTTGCGTCTATTGTCTTGGCAGCTAATCAGCTTCAGTGAGCCGGAAAATGAGTCGCTTGCCTATGCTGTATTTGCCCAATGCAGTAACTCTTATATAAGACAAGTGCATTTTGCTATAAATATAAGTTTTTCTGTGAGGCTCTGGTATAAGGCAATCAATTTATGACAATATTTTTATCCGCAGTGTTTGGGTTGGACTCCCCACTCGGACTCTTTCCTCCTGGGATGGATCCTGGCAAGCTGTACAATCCGCTAATGGAAATGAGCGATCCGAGAGACATGACTGGAGGGGCACCACCGTTTCTCAAAAAAAAAAGTAAGTACAAGGAGCCCATTAAATAATTGTATAAGAACAAACTTTCACCAAGCTGAGCAAACAACTAATTAACCCGGGAGACAATGGCGAACCCCAGAAGAGAAACACCCAAACACCTCCCTACCGCTCAAGAGTTTGAAATAATTTCGACATGATTGGCGTCGATCACGTTGAGGCGTTCGAGCTTGTAGGCCGATCGGTTCCGTGCCTGGCTGCAATACTTCACACCTGACTGATTGATCCCTCGCTCGGGCTGCAGAGTTCAAACTGAGTCTTCTACCTTTGTACCTCTTGCATTGATCTGCTGCACTTTTGATCACGTATTCGAGCTGGGGGCAGTAAGAAAATCGATTGCGGGTAATTGAAGAGCAAATAGAAAGGTTTTAACCAGTTTTGTAAGTGGCTGACCTAAATTATAACTGATTATATAATCTAATTCTATTAGGAAATCAACCAAGAGGGTATAGTTGGATTAAGTTCATTTCAAAACTTATCGTCTGCAAAAAAAAACAGCTAAGACTGAACTCACTATACTCATTTCGTTTAAGCCACATTTTATGTCTCTCCTTTATACTCCTCCCCTCCTCGAACCGTTCCAGATGCGATCACTGATCGCTCGTGCGATCATGTGAGGCGGCAAATTTGTTTCTGCGGTTTTCCTGTGCGCCGATGCAATCGTTGAACCGTTCGAGAAATGGTTTGTTTGTTTCTTTATTGGTTTCTTACATGTGCACCTATGCATATCGCAGGCAAACGACAGCGTAAACGTAGCTTTTTCTGATTGACAAATGGGCGAGGCGTGGAAGTAAATTCGCTTTTTACTCAGTTCACCTGCGGACGATGCGAAGCAAGTGAAACCTCAGAGTTAATGAAGTTTTTTTTAAGCCAGGAAATCAAACGAATTAGATAAGTGTAGTTCACAAATCAATTATACCCAGCCAGTAAACTGATTGACAAATGAGAAGAATAAGGAATGAAAAGGGTTAATGTGAAGATATGATTTTTTAATCTACATATGAGCTTGTTTCTTTGACAGGTAATGTGACATGCAACCCGCGTTGATGGGTTAAGTGCTTGGCTATTACTATTTTCCTTTTTTAAAGTCAAACTTATGTTGGCCAATGCTTTTAAATCTCTCCAGGCGCTAGACAAGAGAGCTTGAGAAACGTGAAAGAAATATAAAGTGGACATAGTTTCCCACTTTACTCACGATAAAGTTAATCGCTTAATTTTCTTGCGCTCAAGAACCCATCAATTGAAGGAATAACAAAGCAAGTCGTGATCATATATTGGAAATCTTTCAGTGAAGAATATCCAAAGAAGATTTGTAAAGTGTTATCTAATCTACATCTTGAGGCGTGCAGAATGATGCCGAAATTACAAATACAATTACAACAATGTGAGCAGGCAAATAAAACGCTAGTCTGCCGTATCGCACGATATTCTTTGCATATCTGCAAAACCCGTTTCGCAACTGATACCTATCAGGAGCTGAAGAAGCTCTACACGGACAACTTCGATGCGATCGCCTCGAATTCTGGGACTCGCAATCGTGTGGGTGTGATTAACTGATTTGTTCACATTTATTTGTTCATTCGGTGATTGTTTTGAGCCCGTCTGTGAAACGTGATTTGCGATTTGTACCAAATTCAAATTGCGTTCACGTAAAAGCCCGACTTAGCTAACCGTTGGGTCTAGTGGAACTTCATTAGACAGCACCAGACATTTTTGGTATTTTCTTTTTCACTGGAATCGAAGGGTCAGACCTTGCTGGTGACCCAGCTGCTCTAGACCGAATCAAGAGTCCAAACTGCGGACAAGCCAAGTATTCAAGACTGCCAAATAAAGGAAAATTCATATGATCAGGCTAAAGCAACCAGTGAATTAGTGTAAGCTGAAGCCACATAGTTATATTTACCGGCACATGACTGTGCCGTTGTCAAGCAGCTAAAGGGTTTTGCAGAAAGGAACCTGTGGCTTTGCTGGCGTTTTTGTCGGTGCCAGCCGATATCTGGTGATCTAAATTGAGTTTTCGCGGCGCATGTGACGCCGCAGTCTCTGCACACTCTTAATTTGCATATAGAGGAGAGCCAAGCCGAACCGGGCAGGTCAGGTTGGGAACCTCCACAGCGTTCTTATTTCTTCGACAGTGCAGAATGATCGCTCTCTCCAATAAAAGGTGCACCTTAAGAATCATAGCAGGGTGTGTACGAGTTGAAGGCAAGCCGAAGTGAGCCGCTTCGCTGTGTAGGTCCCAGACAATGGGTGACTTTTCAGCAAATTTGTCTAGGCAGCATATGAGGCCAAGAGATTGAAACATTAGCAGATATAAGCTCAGCGATAAACTCGTGCTTGTGGCGCCTTGTGGTGCCTCTTCCTCATCCCTGCCTAACGTCCTCGCAGTGAGAAGCTCTGTTCTAATCCACTTTAACTTATTTCTTTGTAGTGCCACGACCAAAGGGGCAGCACTCGGCGCCTCGCGGAGGTCCTCCTCGCTCCTGGACCAACACAGAACTGACGGAGGCACTGCAGCACGTTTGGAACAAAAAGATGACCACGTCGCAGGCCTCGCGCATTTTCGGTATCCCCTACAACTCCCTGCTTATGTATGTGCGGGGCAAGTACGGAAAAAGCTTGAAGCTCGAGCAGCTGCGAAAGGATTGTATCAGTGGTCCGCCGATCGAGATGCTGCAGATGGGCATTAGCGGCGGCAACGGGGGCAGCAGCGGCTCCAACAAGAGCGAGAAAAGCAAGGAGCGCAAAGATAAAGAGAAGGACAAGAGCTCCGCGAGCAACAACGGCTCCGGTGGCACGACCAATGCCCAAGGCGGAGGCCCGACTTCTGGAAACGGATCCTCCGTGCCGCATTCCGGGGATCTTGGACCCTTGGGCCCGCTGGACCTGGAGCTAGGTCTTCCCCTGGGACCACCTGGCGGCCCTCGCAGCGGCAGTTCGGAGCCCGATCTGCTGAGCGGTCCCAATGCCCTCTTCAACCCGTTCAACCCGCAGGGCTTCTACCCGGACTTTGCCGGCGGCTTTCCCGGCCTTCCCCTGAGCATGCTGAATCTGCTGCCGCCGGCAGAGCGCCACCACGCTGCGGCAGCCATGCACCACCTGGGCGTAACCATGGACGAGGACTGCAAGTCTGTGGGATCGAAGCAGTCTTCCTCCATAGACGATGACTTCGCGGGCCCTGGGATGCCACACTCGCTGGACCAGCGGCGGGAGATGAGCGCGACGGGCCCACCACTGTCGCAATCGAATGGGGCGGCCGGGCAGGATTGAAACTTGTGGCGGGATTGGGCAACTGGGGCTACCAACGCCAATCCAATATACTTCCCTGCTTTCGAGCTGAACCATGAGCAGAACCCGACCCCACAGTCCCTGCCTATGCGACCCGCCCTGCACCAAATGGCCTGCCGTGAGCTCAGTTTTAAGCCGGACCTATTCATGGCCAGGCGCAAGCTGAAACGCTTTCGAACCAAACGCCAGCTCCAAACGCAGATGGAGCCGCCAAACGCAGCCGTTTCTGCCAACTGTACCATCAGCCACGCGCTGCCATCGCTGAGGACTTGAATGTTAACCCGAATGCAATATGATTACTTTTAGTTTATTTTATTTTTTAGTGCCCGTGAAGGACAATATTGATTTACTAGGATAACGTTCCCCTTTGTTTGAGCAAAAAAAATCTGTAAATTTTGCTGGTGCTTTTAGTTCCTATTCCCAATTATATAATTTTAATATTTTGCTTTAATTTGGATAATTGTAATTGGATATGACAAAGCTTACAAAGCATTTGAGGCAATACATAAAAACAATATATATTACAGCCTGTATTATTATATAATTTAAGTATGGAAAGGAATATAATCAAAAAGAGCGAAGGTTAAGAAAAGATAAAAATTGTGTATATATGAGGAAATCCAAACCAACAAACAACATTAGCCCCCTGCTCAGGCTGTGGAACCGATTGCCACGGCCTGCTTGTTTGGGAGAGAGTTATACAACATGGCGAATAGTAGTATTGATAATATCGGTTACACGGCCGATGACTGTACCAAAATTTTTAATGTTATTTTATAAAAGAAAAACAAAAAAAAATAGTTTTAGTCGTAAGTTTTCTCGTAGAAAATTCGTAATTGTATAGAAAACATCAGCACCAATATTAACCACTCATAGTTGCACATTCCCCTCACCAAAAGTCGACATTCCTAGTTATTGGCAGATGCCCTTTGTAAATCTCTGCCAATCTCATGGAATAACCCAGAAAAATCCGTTTTGTAATCTTATTTGTAAAGAATTGAACAAAACCAACCGATTAAAAATACACAATGTGACACATTTCCGCACATAGTTTTAATAACTTATAAGCTCAAATAAAATATTTTAATATTAAATATTACAACAGTAACTTATGTAAGTAAAAAAAAAAGTATATGCATTACAATAAATAGCAAAGGTTATTAAATAAAACGTCAAATGTTTATCTTTGTTTAAACAAGAAAGGATTTTTATGAGTCTGTCTAAAAACAATGAGGCTTTGGTGATATTCCATTCTATTTTTTCTTCGTTCCGTTAATGTTTTAATAAAATTGAAGTTCTAAAAAAATTTGTACCCAAATAATAACCAATCAATATATATGGAGTATATTTGTAGAAATTAAAAACAGCGAAGTTATATTGGTTTTAAATGTATTTTTTCGCTTACTCCAATTGGAGCAGCCCGTTCCGACCTATGTATATACTTACCTGCAAAAGAAATAAGACTTTCGGGAACGTTTCATCCAAAAAGCTTTACAACTGAAAGTTTATCTTGTGAAAAATCTGACGGAAATGTATAAATCATCTCTGATGCTGATCAAATATATATATATTTTATAGTGTCAAAAATGTCTTGATCACGTTGCAAACTTCTGACTGCAATTATCTACCCTCTGCAAAGGTTTACAAATTGACTGTAAATATCTAACAGAAACAGAAAAGAAAAATTCTTAAGTAAACGTGTTTTTTTTTTTTTTTTAAATAATAGAAGGAGTTAATACTATGTTGCTACAAATCTCTTATACAAAAAATACCTGTTTTCCTAAGCTCCCTCCAGATGGCGCCAACTTACATTTGTGACATCAAAAACCAACTGAAGACCTTTATCAAAATGAATGTAGAGTAAATCGCCAACAGGGGGCGCCAAGGCTCAACTTCACAAGAGGTGGTGCACCAGCGGAACTTCAACGAAAGATGGCGCCACGAAATAAATGTTTGACCTAATTATCTAGCAAACCGCAATCAAGTTCTATTTCAATTTGCTTTTTTTTGGGGGTTAATTAGGGGGTCAGCTTAGTTCAAACTTTAACGCCTGTTTTTTCCTAGGCAACGTCCGTTTCTAACTAGTCTCTCAGTTTTAAAACTATCTACATGAAACTTTCCCAAAAGTTTTCGTTCTATTGCAGGTAGTACATATGTAAGTCGGAACGAGCAGGATTGGACCACAATCGGAAAAAAAAATGAAAAAATATTATAACTTTGCTGTATTGGGGCAGAAGAAAAAATACTTTTATTGCGTCACGCTGTGACGTCTCTGCACAATTTGACGATATGGTTTGACATTGGTTTGTTTTGATTTTTACTTGAATTTACCTAAAAAAGAAAAGGAGCAGGTGAAGCAGCGGGCGGGTGCGAATTCAAAAAACCGGAGTTTCTGTCAAAACTTTTGCCAACTGATTTCGGTCGGGGATGTTTTGGGCTTACTGGTAATAGCCTGGCTAATTACTAGGCCTTAAAACAGTACAGTAATTAGTTAGTTAAAACAACGACACCGTCGAGATAGTCACATTGCCGAACCAGGCGGACAAGAAATGACAAGAAATGCATAGGAATACGGCATGTGACATGTGCATAAACACCATACTGGGCCAGGCCACTGAGATCTAAAAATAACGCGCTAAGCCTTCGGTGGAGGTGTTTCAAAGCGAAAACATAAAATTACAGAGAACCAGGGTATATTGAATATGTGGCAGCATAAATATATAAATTATCAACGAAGGTCTGGTATGACTGTTTATCCAAATAACCACCGAAATTCTGTCATTCTTTTTTTATAATTTGTCGCTCGATGACTTCTAAGCTATCATCCATAACTGCTGGGTATAAATACTTCGACTATGGGCTAATGTTAGTAAACCTTATTTTTGTTCTCTGGCTGGCTCTGCGCTCTTTACGGCTCTCTTCGAACTGCACGCTCTTCAGGCGCTTGCGTTGTTTGAATCTGTATTTTTATTTCCATTTCGAATTCGAATTGGGCGCCTCTCCACTTGAGTTCTCCGCCTAGTTGAATCAGTCGAGTTGGATACATCCGTCGGCTGGCAACCGTCTGCTGCTAGATTGACGCTCCGCGCGTATCTGCGGATCTATACTAAATTGTTTTTTTCTCGGCTAGTCAGTTTTTCTTATATTTAAATAATCGTGTCGGAACTTACTCAACTGTAACTTAATAAACGGCAATATCCAGAGGAAACAGCAGGATCGCAAAAGCTCTACAGCAAGTGTTTTGAGATAGAGAGACAAGTCCAACAACAGAAAACACATATCTCAAGCCCTTATAGCGCGTTCGCATAACACACAAAAAAAATAGGTGGTGAAGCAACAGAAAAACAAAATAATACAAAAATACGTCAAGAAAATTAAAAAGCGCAGATAAATTTCAATGCACTCAAACGAAGAAAGTATCTGCTGTTTATTTATATTGTACGAGTGAGTGGTGGGTACAAACAGCTGTTGGGGCAACAAAAGTATCAACCGCTTTAAAATTTTCATTCTGGCTTCATTCTTTCAACTCGTTGCTCTAAAATACCGACAATTTTGTATACATTCAGTTGGCTTAAGGTGAGTCAATTTGCTTTATAGCACAAGTGTTTATTAAGTGATTATAACAGAAGATACGTTTTTCTTAGCAAACCATTGTTTTTCAACGCAGACTGATAACGTAGAGTTGGGCAACGCACTTTAAAAATTCCAGCAAAAGTTCAATGCTTTCCAGCTTGAACCAAAACAAGATAGACTTTGAAAGTACGACAGACAGCTTTTTTTTGTTTCCATAAATTAGATGAGCCGATAATTTATGCACCAGGTACTGATCCAAAAATATAAATTTGTTTCCTATGTCTCTCAACTTATTTTAAGCCAGATGCAAACAAAATGTCGAGTTCAAGTTTTGCATTTCTAGAAATCTATAACCAAACAAACTACACTTAAAAAAAATGTTGACTCCTTATGTGGGACCATATTCAAAATTAAATCAAAAAGAATTAAAGGTACATATTCGCAAAGCATTCATATAACATTAATGCAACAGCTCCGCAGCAACAAAGGAAAGGTCTGGGGAAAAATCAATAAAAACGAAAGACCAGCGGGCCCAATGCTTTTTCTCCCTCTTCTGCAACACAGTCCGCAAATAAGGGAATCCAGTAGAAAATCGGATAACTCTTTTTGCGATTCAAACTCGTCTGTAGCTAAAATTCAAAAAGGACAAGTTTGGGCCAAGTTAATAATTTTCTTCATCAATTTGGTGCAGAAAAAGTGTTGTCAAAGCTTGAGCTAACTACAGCTGGTATTATTCCTAAGTATTCTCTTTCCCAACAACTCATTTTATTGTTGTTCTATGACAGTCATTGCCTTCAAGCGTATACGGAAACCAACAGCAAATTCAGCAGGGCAGGTTTAAATATTCAAGTCGTCAAAGAAAACAAATCATCGCAATATTTAAAGAGAAAAGATGACCTGCGCATGCCCAATCATCTTCTCAACTCCCTTTTAATCTACAGTTTGTTTAAACCAAAATTCAAGCTCCCATTTAACCGATGTCTGTTGTTACTCTTATATTTGTTGTCACTAGTCTAATTTTATTGCTTCATTTTTGACAACGAACTGTGTCGCTTGTATGTATATCGTGAAGTTGGTTGCATTTTACGCAGACAGCTTCTCTGTCGAAGCGATTCTCGCTCAAGCACGCTAACGCGCCAAGTGAAAAGCGACGTCCAAACTAGTTTCTCTTTTCAAAGAACTGCAATTTCACTGGTAGCATTAAGATTATTGAACTGGTTGTAGAACAAACATATTTGCTTCAAATGTCAAATCGGAACTAAATGTGTAGCACAATAAGTATATTCGGGACAATTGTGACACACACTTGTGCAACTTCAACTGAAGGGTATTCATAGTACCCTGATTTAAATGGTTCCCTTCTACATCTGAAAAGGAAAAATAACTTTAAACAGTTTCATGTTAAAAAGTTTTAGACAAGGAAGTTTTTAGAGGAAGTATTACAATGTCAATAAAGTGTTTTCAGTCTCTATCGCAGCTGCCCGACATGGACCAAAAATAAAAAAAACAAAAATTTAATTTTACACTTTGCTTGCCCAATTAGAGAACTCCAATATGTTTGACGTTCTTTGTCGTTGATATGGTGTTCAGTGTTTGCCTCCCATTGTTTACTCGCCACCGCGCCCTTTGCCATTCTTCAGCTCTAAGTGCAATGAACTTGGCAATTATCCAGGGAATGAAGTGAAAAGTGTTTAACCCTTTTCAAGTTGTAAATAATATTGTCTACCACAGAAAATTAAAACAAGTCGAGGTATATTTTTATACCCTTGCAGAGGGTATTATAATTCGAGTCAGAAGTTTGCAACACAGTGAAGAAGACATTTCCGACCCTATAAAGTATATACATTCTTTATTCTTTTGAATTATGCTTTTAAATTTATTAAATTCGGACGAATCGAAGATCAAATAATTGAGCTAAAATTCGTCATAGCTTCAATATTTTTAAATCTAAATTTATATGTTTTAAAGAGCATTTAATTTTGGCAATAGCTGCAAGGGTATATAAACTTCGACCTGCCAAAGTTTGCTTCCTTTCTTGTTTTATCGTTGACATACTCATTAAAAGCAATGAGTTTGCGATCAAGGATCTGGAAGGAAAAAAACAAACAAAAACAAACCTACTCACCTGTCTCTTTCTAACAGCTGTTAGTTGTGGCCGAAGCTTTTCGCTCTCTCGGTAATAGCTTCATCATCATCGCCTCGATTTTCAGCTTCGTCTTCTTTTTCTTGCCGTTGCTTTTGTTTTTGTTTTTGCCTTTTGCTGCCTCACTGGCTGTTGTTCTTGCTGCTGTTGCTTAACGATGCTCTGGGGCTTGTGTTTTGTTTTTTCGGCTTTATTTATTTTATCGCCTGCCGCATTCGAAAAATAACTTAACCAGGCAGTCACCACTTTGTTGTGGCACTCTGTTGGGATAGGCTTGGCTTTTTAGCTTTGGTTTTGGTTTCCGACAATTACTTGCTTAAATTACACAAAAAATACTAAATATCACACACCAAATAACAGTAATTATTAAATTTAAACTTGAGAACGAACCCGAACTTAACCAAAAACACGGAACGCGGAACGACCAAACCAACGAACTTGACTTGTTTCATAGAGTAAGAAACTTTATAGACGCGCCATTTGCTCTGCCGCCTCTCTTGATGCCGCTCTGCCAGTGATGCCACATGGATACAAAGAGAGGACAATTTCAGTTTCTCACGGCTCGATCTGAACTTGTAATTTGGCCCCGCAGTGAGTTTCTGCAGCTGAACTGGTCGCTCTCATTGTTAAGGGCTGGTGCGAGCAGTGCAGTTGCAAATTCACCGCGGGACCGAATTGCAAGCTCGAACCAAAAGCTGATTAGTAGGGTGGGAAATTAAATTTAACTTCGAACATTGCTCTCAGCAGAACTTGGGCAGAGGTTCGGGCAGAGCAAATGGTGTCTCTAAATATTTCTTACTCTATGTCTAAGCTTGTTTTGCTTAGAAAAATGCTAGCTTAAGAAGAAAGAGCCATTTAGCCCTACGGCAAGCCAAAGTTTTTACGCCCTGGCAGCTGTAAAAAAAATTAAGTATTTTATAAATCAGTACAAACATTTATAAAAAAATATATAATTAATTTAATACTATGACCATCGTCATTAAGGGCAATAAAATTCGATAAGGCTACGATTTCGGCAGTCTTAAGACTTGCACATTACATTTTAGAAATATGAAGGACGTATGTACGATCCTTCAAAGAGTCATGTTATTCAAAAGAAAATTTTTTTGACTTATCTTATCTCTCAGTTAAGCTTGTACCTGAAAAGTGAATTTTGTCATTAAAAGTCGAATGGTTATATATTAGTTGTAAAATGAAACATAGGTTAGCTAAATTGGTTAGCCACAACTCAAGATACTTAAATAGACACCAATATACAAACAAAATTATTTGTCAAAAGAAACACTATACTTTTTAAGGACCCATACTCACGTCTGACAGTGTTCTCAGCATTTGTGTGTTCAAGAGTGGAATATGCTTCCTTTATTTGGAACCCGTCAGGCGTTGAAACTAGAAATTCGACTGCTTCGACATCACATATATCAAGCGAAATCTAATGGAGTTACTCAACATTAATCGTTGACTTTCTTAACGGCACTTTTTGTGCTATATGTCACGAAAGAGAAACACAAAATTACTGACTATGCAAATGGCTCATTAAGTGGCAAAACAGAAAAGTCAGAGAGTTTTAAATGCACCCACGTTTCTGATGTGTGTGAATTATGTTAATTGGAAAATATTTATGGCATAATTGCCTAGCGATAGCTGTCGTTCATTAAATAACCGTTTAGACAAAACATTCTGCGGTGAAATGAAAGTGAAATTCAGATAAAATCTAAAAATCGAAATCTAAAATAATTATGCAGATCTACAACAAAGATATCAAAATCAAGACGGAAAAAAGTAAAATATAAGAAATAGGAAGTATATAAGAAATGGAAACTGTTAAAAGTTCTAACGATCAAATAATTGACTGGTTCCAGCAGCCATTAATGCAAACATCCACAATACTAATATTGCTTCAGGAATTACTATAAAAACTGCTGTAAGACAGCTACCGATAGAAACTTTTAAATAATCCGTATGAAGCAAATGTGCCTAGTCGGACAGGTCTTTATCGAAAAAGTAAATAAGAGTGATTAAGTTTGAGTTTTGTGTCATACAACTTAAACAACGAAGTTATGTCGATTTTTCAATTATTATTTAATACATTTTAGAAAATATATTATAAAAGCTATAGCTGTCTGTGTTTTTAGCAAGGGCAAAAAAAAATATTTAGAGTAGTCAACTGACGAGAGTGTTAGCAAGTGCGTCCCCAAAGACCTTTGTGTAACGAAGTCTGTCATTGCGACCAGAGTCTCATGCTGAAGTCAGTTATCCCCGCATTTACACAGCTATGGCCAGTTTAGACTTGTTTCAATAAACTGAAATCTAACGCTTGTAGAGTGGAAAGTATCGGGAGAATTCGCTTTTATTTGTCCCATTGAGTGCTTAATTACTTTCAACGCCTTCGGAGCTATCAATAACATATTCAAGTGTCCAATAAGAACTTTTGTTGTGTTTTTTTCTACAACACATTAAATCAAAAGCTTTTAAGATTAAAACAAATATTCTGTGATTAAAATCCACATGTCAAATTAACAACTAGTCTAGCTTACCCCCATCCTCATAAACCATTAATATTGTGTGATTAAGAGTACCAAATATTATAAAACGTTTAGCTTATCTCCAGTCTCATTAATCATTAATGTTTGCGATGGCTTTTGTTTCGCATCCCCAAAAGAAGCAAGTGATAAGAGTCCATAGAGGGCAATCGAAATTGGATTAGCAGAGGTGTGATTGAATCTTTATACCCTTGCAGAGGGTATTATAATTTCAGTCAGAAGTTTGCAACGCAGTGAAGGAGACATCTCCGACCCTATAAAGTATATATATTCTTGATCAGCATCACTAGGCGAGTCGATCTAGCCATGTCCGTCTG